CAGTTCAGGGTAGATAGGAGGCTCCGGCATAGCGATCAAGAATCCGACCGCGTACAGAGCAGGCGCAGGGGCTGATGTGGATGCGCTCATGTCGATTGAGGCATGTTTTGGGGATACGGACAGCATTCGAGCGGTTGGAGGTATATAGGCTGTTTAATTCGACCTGCATAACTATGATCGTGACTAGCAAGCCTCATATTGCGCACCATTATATCGTGCCATAATGGGGGACCACCTTGGGCCCTATCATCCAGAAACGCGTCGTAAACCTTCGGTTCCGTGTCAAGATCATCGAGGCCTCAGCGATTAAATAAAAGCTATCTCGCCCCTGGAGAAAACGCGGTCGCCCCCAGAGAAAGACCGCTCGGATACTGAGGATGACAATCAGGCCTATAATGAAGCACGCCGCTGAGGCGACGGCATACTCTGTGGATTGTCGCTGTTACGAGGGGATATTCTTCAAGGTACACTGGACTCACTGTATATCAAAGGGACGAAAGAGGACATTCGTGTCTGATCTGTGGGAGAGCGAATGATGCCATTGCCGCAAATAGTGGGCTTAAAGACTCGCCGTAGAAAGCCTTTGGTCGAGCCTCGACCCAAACGAGTCGGATGTCAAAGCCATATAACGGAAGTCTAGGCCCATGGAAGCACCCGGTTTTCGACGACTCGGAGCGAGTGAGATATGGGCCGCACGAGGGCACAAAAGTATATAGATGCAGCCAAGTCCAGGTCGACCGAAAGCCCGGAAAGTAGTCCAGTGTGCGGAAAACGACTTGGAGAAGACAACTGAAATGAGTCCAATTTCCACGAGTGCTCCAAGGCGAGGCCCCTGCGATGCGAGGTGACGTCACCATTACAGCTCACGCCTCGCCCAATGACATTTCCTTAAAAGGCATATCTAATCTTATCGTGTCGACCTTGGTGTGATAGCACACTTTTGCGCCCCCCGTCGCCAATGGCATCAACAACGTCGATCAAAAGCTGTCGTCACGACGTGTACAAAAAATGCATTAAAAATCGCGAAAATATTACACAGTATGGCGACGTGAAATACGGTGCATGGGGTCAAAGAACTAAGCTAAAACAAGCATGGTGACCCCACGCGATGGACAGCGTCGCCACAGACATTGCCGCGAAGCGTGCGCGCCCACGACGGCTAGTTGCGGCGCGCAGGCACCGATCGCTGCTTGCGCTGGCCACCGCTCCCGTGGGAACGTGGGTGCTGTGGTCCGAGACGCGAATGGGAACGCGCCACGCCCAGCGCATTGGGATATGGCCGCGGCGCGAGCGCGATCGCGTTATGCATGCCCGAACTGGGGCGTTGAGGTACCGCGCGTGGCGAGGGTCCCGATGTGCCGCGGCGCTGGATGCGGTGATGGATGTGCCTACGGCGTGGGCGTCGGATGCGAAAGCCGTGCGTGCGCGAGTGGCTTTCCTGCTCGTTCTGTTCGATGCACCGGGGTGAAGACAATGACTGGGGGCGAAGGCCGAGCTGATGGCTGGGCGGAGGTGCGGCCGCCAAAGGAGGGCAGCAGCCGCACTGCATGCCCGAGATGGAAGCAGCATTCCTCGCAGTGCGATGGCGCAGCCGGATTCGCCTCGCTTGGCTGCAGCGCGACCTCAGGCTGGGGCCGGTCACAACTTGATCACTCTGTTCATACCCGAGCGTGCGGACGTGGCCTGGGCTGGAGCAGAAGACCTGTTGAGGCGGCGCGCAATATGGGTGACGTGGCAGGTAAACCGGCCTGCACAGTGCGAATGGCGAGGAAATTGCGAAAGGTGAGTATTTGTGCGACCTCATATCACTGAATACACACCAGAAAACGTCGAGACTCATCCCTCGCCAACCCAGCATGTCTTCTGGGCTCAGAATACATTTATACCCGAATTTGCCTTATTCCGTGTCGGACCAACGCCGAGAAGAATGTCGCCTCAGTGTCCCGGAGCACAGATCGAGATTTGGTCATATCAATGAGGATGACGAGGAGTTATGAGCCAGAGATCGGCAGTCGACGAAAGCATCCGCAGCCGGGGATCCATCCAGTGAAAACCAGAAAAAAGGCGGACAAGAATGCCTGATATGGGTTAAAACATGCTTAAGCACCGATCGCGCGCTGAGGATGCTCCAAGAGAGGTCGAGCGAGCGAAGTGATGGTGGAGGAATGCACGAAGGGTCACGAATGTAACGCCGGGTCACGATGCCGATGTAGCCGAACGAGCGTCTCTAGCAGAAAGGACAAACACTCCGGGGAACTTTGAAAGAGATATGAAGAGAGGGATCTCTTCAAAACGACTAGCCAAACCAGTGGGTAGAGGAAATTTCACAAATTACGGGATCGTATTGTAGATAAACCTCTGATAAAATGTAGAATAGCAGAGTTTACAACTGCATTTCAAGGCCATCGTCGATGCTGAGACGGGGAGGGTGCTGCGAATGCACTGGAAAAGAAATAAAAAGGCATATTCGTAATCAAACTATGGTTCGGCCCGAATCGAACGGGCTTGTCCTGTAAATCTCATATGTAGATCAGAACAAGTCACAGGTGTGGACCATCCACCACCGAGCCGATATCCTTCCAAGTTGTGACCTCGAGTATATTTGACAAGATAATCAGTTGAAAAAACCGCGGAGTGGTTCGTGAGTGTTGCAGAAATTTTGAAGAGGAGGAAGGGTCAGTGGTACAGTTGAATCTCGCAGATCAGAATTTTAGGGAGAAAAAAAAAAACACTACACTCCAACACATGGCTCGGCGAGTTGAATGGGCCTACCCTACAGAAACAAAGTCTGACTTCAGCGAGCATGAGGTGCAGGTGTGGACCATCCACCACCAAGCCTTCATCACCTACTCGAGACTGTGAATGCGTGTGTATGGAAAAAAAACTTGCAATTGAGGACGGAACACCGAAAACATCAGGAAAATTCACGACCTGCATGGTTGAAATTATGAAGATGCAGGGGCTACAGTCGCACTCGCTGATCAGAAATGGAGAGAAACAACCAAACCATGCGGCATATAGCTCGAGCCCGAGTCGAACGGGCTCTCCTGCAGACAATCCAAGCCCACGAGGAAGCATACAAGTTGTGGACCATCCACCACCGAGCCGATATTCCTCTACTTTTTTTCTTGATTTTTCTGATAGTATGTTGTCTGAGTCAGTCCCAAAATCCACGACCAAAAAAGTTGCTCCTTGGGTTGAAAATCTTGACAGTTGGATTGCCCATTTCACCGATCAGAAATTCAGAGAGAGAACCAAAAAAAAAATTAGAACTTTCCAATATATGGCTCGAGCCCGATTTGACCGGGCTTGTCCTCAGTTGTCCTTCACCGCATGGAGTGTACATGTGGACCATCGACCACCGAGCCAATGTCTTGTGGCCGCGAATATAAATATTTGAAACATGCCAAATGTGAAACAGTCCCAAATTCCTCGAACTGGTTCGGTAAGAAGTAGAGTTGCTGCCATGGTTGAAATTTTGAAGATACGAGTGGCAGTAATTGAGAGAGGGAAAAATTCAACCCTTTCTGCACATGGCTCGGGCCCGAGTCGAACGGGCTCTCTTACAAACTATTCTGCAAGCCCTCATGTATTGGAGGTGTGGACCATCCACCATCGAGCCGATAACACTCTAACTCGTGCGCTCAAATATGTTTGACAGGTGTGAAATAAGTCCCAAAATTTTCGACCTGGTTCCGTAAGAAGTAGAGTTGCAGCCTGGGTTGAAATTCAAAGGAGATAGTAGTGACACTTGCAATAATTGCTCATCTCACAGACTAGAAATGGAGAGCGAGCTCCCGAAAAAAAACGACTTTCCTCCATATAACTCGGGCCCGAATCGAACGGGCTCTCTTCCAAAATTCTTGGTCTCCCTTACAATGAGTGGAGGTGTGGACCATCCACCACCGAGCCGACATCTTTCAGCTTGTTTCCTCAAATATACTTGGCAAATGCCAATTGTGGAATCAGTCCCAAATCCTCAAACTGGTTGGGTAAGAAGCGAAGTTGCTACCATGGTTGAAATTCTGAGGAGATAGTATTGACAATTGCAATAATTGCTCATCTCGCAGATCAGAATTGAGAGGGACAACAAAAAAAAACGAATTGTTTCCAACTCATGGCTCAGGCCCGAATCGAACGAGCTTTCCTACAAACTATTCTGCAACCAACATATATTGTAGGTGTGGACCATCCACCACCGAGCCTTTTTCATCCTACTTAATGGCTTGAATGTATGCAGAAAATGTCGAGGATTTTTGAGCTCCTTCACAGGGTTCGCTGAAACAACTTACAGTGTTGGTGGCCATGGGTTGCATCATCATTTGTGTGTGAACCAAAAAGTTCTCAAATTGGATTTACATGGCTCGGGCTCGAATCGAACGGGTTCTCCTACACAGCATCATTCAAGTCGCAGCATGGAGTGCAGGTGTGGACCATCCACCACCGAGCTTCCTTCACATGCTTCTGACCTCTGCTTAATTCATCCAAAAATCGCAATTACTCGTGTTCACAGCACACTCAAATCACCATTAGGCTCAAAAATAGCATTCATAGCCGATACGCCGCATGGATTGTTACTTCAATTTGGAGACGGCCAGTTACATACAGTATGATTGCACCCCGGGCAGTAGAGACGAGCAGGGTAATAACCCTGCTCATAAATAAAAAATGAAGGCGCATAGCCATGGCTCAGGCCTGGTTCGAACAGGCGACTCCCGCAAAACACTATGTTTTAGTGAAATGAGAAGCGGACACATTACCACTCTGCCACCGAGCCGCGATGATTCAGAAGTCCAAAAATCGTCATGGGTGTGCATCCCTACGCACATCACAGCACTCCACAAATCACCAATAGGTGTTTAAAAATATTCATAGCCGTACACTGACACCCTGCGTGGATTATTTGTTATTCGAATTTAGGGACACACTGTATCGATCGCACCACGGATAGTATAGACGAGCAGGGTAATAACCTGAAAAAAAATGGTGGTCCATCAGCATGGCTCAGGCCTGGTTCGAACAGGCGACTTCCGCAATGGAGAATAATCAGGTGACAGGTCTCTCGTAAGCGGATGCATTACCACTCTGCCACCGAGCCGTGATGAAGAAGTGGTAGTGACATGGGAATCCGAAGCTCTCGTTCGGGATACCGGCGGGACTGTGCAGTGTAATGCTACTTACCTACCTACTGACCTACTGGGAGAACCAAATAATGAACAGAATAAGGCACCAGTGAAATGGATGGAGCATCGAGGAACAGAGGAAAAGGAGGAAATTTTAATTAAACCCAAGACAAAAAGTCTGGGCAGACCGAAGCCAAAAAAGCAACAACAGAAAATATTCATGGCTCGGGCCTGGTTTGAACAGGCAATCTCCGCAGAAGCAATCTTCGTATACCTCTAAAAGCAGCGGGCGCATTACCACTCTGCCACCGAGCCATGATGGAGACAGTGACATGGGAATATGAAGCAATAGGGAGAGAAGTGTTATTCTGGGAGAGAATGAATTCGATGAAAAGAATAACGCATTAGTGAATGGATGCAGCTGCGGGCATTGAGCGACATGGTGTGGGAGGGAAGGAAATTTAAACCAAACAAAAAGTGTTGGTAGATCGATGCAAAAACATCCACAATTGTGCGAAATGGCCCGAGCCTGGTTGGTTTGTTTTAGGGAATGATTGGGCCAAGCGGACCATACTCTGCTACCGAGCCATTGATAATCTTGCTTGAATGACTGCCAGGTGTCGACCTTCATCACATACCTGAGATGCGTACCGAGTTCTCTCCCCCCTCCCCCTCCGCGTCCCTTCATCTTTCCCATGCTAAAAGCCGAAGCCGAAGCCGAAACCGACAACCCCGAAATGAGACAGGGGCTCTTAAAAAATCACGTCACAAACACAGCCTTTGTGACCTGGCGTGTGCAGGGCGCAGTGTAGGGCCAGGCCAGGCGCGTCCTGACAAATCTCTCCTTTTCTCTTGTTTTCCTGTTTGCCACTTGCTTTTGCTTGCACCGCGACTAAAGACTAGAGTAAAAGACACAAACACTTGGTACTTTAACTTAGAGCTTCGCCACCATGTCAGCCTCCCCCACGTCGCTGGGCGTCGGCACGCGCACACCCTTCGCCTCGTCCGCGTCGTCCTCCCCGATGCCGACCCGCGCGCCTGTGGTCGGATTTCTCGTCTGTGCCTGCGAGCACGGCTGCGAGCTCGCCTGCGCCCGAGTGTGAGGACGATGGAGAGATGAAGGTGTGTCTCCTCATCAGGAAAAGCATCCAATGGTAATAAGGCTGGATTAGACTGAACTTCAGGCTAATTCGGTCGAATATGTTTAGTTTCCTTCATTAGGTATCTAGCAACCTCCCAGGTAAATTACCACTAATTTCAGCCTAAGTTACCCGCAGTTTGCTTGACTTTTCCCTGCTTTCCCGGTCTTCCTAGCTCTCTAGAAACTCAGAATTGATCATTTGGATGTCGTGAATCATATATATATTGAATTCCTAGGTACGATACATGCTGGGATAATATATTCTGGTACATAGTAAGCTCCCAACAGTCAAACTAATGTTACTTGCCCGCAAAAACGGGTTTGCAACACCTCGAGCGCATGAGAGCCAACGACGAGTCCGGGACTGAAACCCCATTAGAGCAGGCAGTGTGCGGATTATACACACTGATTGTGTACGCCGAGGCCTAAAAGCACTAGATAAAATATTGCATCAGGGCGGGAGACACGACTGACAATTCAGAAAATCCCGTAGGAGCCAGTGATAGTTAGGAGGCAAAGACATCACAGTCGATAATGAAGAAATGGTGGCATGGGCCAATAACACCACGGATTTGGGCAAGAACATCTTATATAGAAGAGGAAGAAGAATCAGTCAGTGCGTGTTTGACCGATAATCACGGGTGGGGAGGATACTAACTCTTCGACGACGTCGCAAACGCCACTATCGGCAGCCCGGCGCGATGCCAAGTTCACGTTGACCAGCGGGATGGACTCGACGCGGGCAAGATGTCAATCAGCGAACAGATGTGTAATTTCTAAGAGGAACGGTCATGTACCTCACTGCCCTCAAGCCAGTCAAAACATGCAAATGGAAGTCATGGGACCAAGACAACACACCAGGGGCACCACACACCATGTGAGGGCTAGCAGGTTGCGAAATAAAGCAAGATGGCCAGGTGTGAAACAAGAATGCTCCGCCTTCGAGCTGGATTCGGACAACATTGTCTGTCTGTCAACGATAACGATGGGAAGGATAAACACAACGCACCCGGGTACCAGGGAACAACTACGCGCGCCGCCACGCCACGCGCGCCCATCCAAATGGCCACATCTGCCATTTGCGCCACCGAGCTCCTTCCCCATCATCCCATTCGTCCGCGCTGTTGAGCTGCTAAATTGTCCGGCCAAGGATGGTCACTGTGGTGTGAGAATACACTGCAATGAGTAGAACCTTGACTGTAAGATAAGGAAGGACGCACCTCAAGCAACTAATAAGACGTGGTATGGGCCAGCATGATGTATGAACATACAGCCCTCCGAGGGTGAGCTGGAGTGTATGGATGACTTGTCTGCATGGCCGTGACGAGGCTGGACTTACTTACAGGTAAAGAGACATGGATGAAGAGAGGGAAGATGGGAGAAAAGGAAGAAAGAAGTTTGACGGTGTTATGAATCCATCAAAACCAACCATCCTACGCGCTCACGTGTTGCCTGCCGACACTTTAGGGTAGGCACCTGTCACACGTCGTCTCGCGTCGCGCGACGTGGGATTTAGCTAGGAGTTGTTTATTTCTGGAGTCCCGCGGTGACGACGTAAATCCAGATGGCAGAAAAAGGTCTTGAAATGCTGTTTGGCTCGAGTTGATGGGTTTCTTCTTTTTTCGGCACGCGTATGCGGCATATCACGGTAATTTTGCATATCTGGGTGAAATTACCACCATTGTCCTATATTAGCCCTTCTTCAGCCTCATTTATTATGGAGAATCTAATTAGGGGGAAGTTTCTGGGAAATTAGGAAAGTAGTATTTTCCTGATGAAGCTCCTCACCAAGGCGCAGATCGCCGCGAAGAAGCTCGATAAGGCGCACGACGCGCACTTTGCGGCGTTCCCCGTTGTGATTACGACGTATGATTTGATTATAAAAGATAGGCCGGTGTTGGGCGGGGAATTGCCCTATACGCCTGAATTCAGGTGGCGATACATGCCTACTACAATGGAGAACACCATTGAGACCTATCCCAAGCCTTGAGGATTTTTTTGAATAAGGGGGTTGAAGGGGAATCGGGATCATCTCAGAGCAATCCGCACAGGCATGCCAAACACCGAAGACGCCGGGGCCCTTCCCGGTACTGCATTCAAATGAAAGAGGGAAGCCATTAGACAATTTTTATTTTGAGACCTGACTCAAGTCTACTTAAGTGACTTGAAGTTGACTTGTGCTGACTTCAAAGTCGAGTTGAGTCGCACTTGTGACTTGACTTGACTTAAGTCAACCTCACCAAGTCAACTTGGGATCCTCCGATTCCAAGTCGCGGCAACACTAGACTGTTCAATGTTTGGTATTCAAAAAATAAAAACTAAAAATGAGACAGTCCAAAAGGAGGGCAAGAACCGCAGGCTTTGCGTTGTCATTGTTAAAGGGAAGCTTGGGTTTCGGCACTTTCGCCGCGAGCCGCTTCTGTAAACAAAATATTCATTTATGATTTGTTTCGTTGTTTCGAACTAACCATCGTCAAAAATCATCTGTTCAAGTTCGGGAACTGAAGGTAGGTTTGGCCCTCCCATGAAAGAGCGACGAAACCTGGAGGTGAATGTATCGTCCCAGTCGGCACTGGACTGGATTGTCTTTGCCTGCATAACAGGTTCCATGAGTCGGTCAACAGTTTGGACAGCCGTCGGGCGTTTTTTTGGCAATTCTTCCCAGCAGTCTTGAAGGAGGGTCCAAAGAGCATCCAATAATGGTGTTCCGGAACATGACGAGGGCCGCGAAGGTCGAATACCGTCAAGCACGGCCTTGATTACCGCGCCATCATTGTGCAATTCCGAAAACGGATGTTTTCCTGTCAACAGCTGTCCTCAAAGGATATCAACGATCAGAAAGAGAAAATTGAAAAACATAAAGCGCACCTGATGCGCGACGCAGGCGAATGCATAAATATCCGAGCGTAGATCATTATGGCCTCCTCGGTGCAGTTCGGGTGCTTGATAGCATAATGTACCCCCTTGTGCATGCTGAGAAGTACTCATGAATTGTAGTGAAGACATTGTAGTAATGACAGAAGAGAGGCCGAAATCTGCGATACAGGCCCTGAACGATGGAGTTATGAAGATGTTCTCCTATGCAAATGTTTGAGGGGAGAGAAACAAACAACAGTAGAAAAAATCAACTACATACCGCCTTCAAATCGCCGTGGACAAACTCCTTGTCGTGCAGATATCGAAGTCCGAGAGCCACATCCAAAATCTGATGTGAAGGAACGACGATAGTTAGAATTCAGTCAAACAAAAAAAGAGGCACTTGCCCAAGAAATCAGACGATCGGTGCTATACGAATCTTGGGACTCCCTCAAGAATGTTTGAAGGTTCCCATTTTCCATCCACGGAGAGACTAGGCAAAGCCTGTTCTGCATTTGGTATAAACCAAAAAATGGAAGAAGATTAGGGTGAGAGAGCTGGCGCCAAATGAGTGCTTCTCGGCTAAACTCCTGTGCAAATGTCAGTGGCAAATTAATCCATGCAACTTTTGTTTGTCACCTTCAACACCTGGTCGATGTTTCGTTTTCCGAACACCCTCATCATTTTAATAGCCACGCCGTGACCGCGAAGCGATCCTCTGTAAACATCACTGAATGATCCACCTGCCAAGTTTTCCCCTAGTTCAAGCCCCGGAAGCGTACAGCATCGGGGGTGGAGCCCTGAATCGCCCGAGAGCCTTATTAGAGCCTTGATGAGCCTGCGCTTATTGATCGTCGCGAGATTTGAGTCATAATCTAATAACTGGCAATCCTAAGTTAGCAAGTCATCTGCAAAAGAGACCACCAAATTTAGTTACATCTTGCAGGAGATCCAAAAGCTGTTGAGCAGAAGCACCAC